ATAATAATAATTAAACTTTTAATATTATAAAGTATAAGGGTGTATTTTAAACTTTTAAAATACTTGGTAGTTTAATCTTTTAATTAAACTATACTCTTAATTTAATTAATCTTAAACCATGTTATTACAGACTTATTAAACTTCTCTTTTAATTAAACACTTTAATTAATTTAATAAAGTCCATAAGGTGCAATTTGAACTATCCAAAAACTTCAAGGTTCTAAATATAAAAATTCACAATTAAAACTATTTAATTAATTTTTTAATTTATGAACCCAAGAGTTACACTTTTTAACTACAAGAATTTCAAAAATTGAGACTTTTCAAATACCAAAACTTGAGGGCAAGTTTTGTAACTCTTGAAAACTTTTGGTTTTCCATAACTTATGAGTTAATATGATTTTTATGAAAAAACATTTTCATGTTCCATAACTTAAGGACAAGTTATGGAGTCCTTTAAAAGCATTTAGATCAATATTTTCTACTAATAAAATTACCATATAATTTATCATTGATCTATTCTAACTCATAAGGCTAGATAATACAAAGTCTACAATTTGCAAATAAATTAGCTTATCATATAAACTAACACTAAACTTGAAATTTTGACGAGTATCTTTTATTTGGATGAGGCTAATTATTTTCATAACATAAAAAAAGCGAATTTTTATCAAGAAAACAATCCATAGTTAATTACCCAAATCCAAATTATGCCAGGAAAACTGAAATCTACCATCTGATGCTTCACTACGTCGTGGTAATTATTGTCACGTCGTGGCGGGCATGGAGAAACGAAATTGGCAGATTTTCCAGCTTTGAAAATAATACAATTGCAACAATATAACAGAAAACAACTCATGGCTCTGATACCATTGTTGGGTTTTGTATACTACAACATCCTATGGTGCACATACAACCCTAAATGCTTTGGATCTATGTTTTCTCTAATTATACATGCAATATTGGTTCCAAAGCATAAAGCCTACAACTAGCATACAATTGACATAATCAACATAAAAGTGAGTTATAGAATTACCTCTTTGTTGTAGCTTGTAGTTTTGGCCTTTAATAACTTAGCACCCCAAGTGTGATGCCTGAAACAGTTCACAACACACCTTGGACAAAGGAGAACTTGAGAGTGAAGTTGCTAGTTTCAAAATCACCTCATATGAACTCCAAGAACATGTCTTTACGATTTTAGGGTATGAGAAACATATACATAGTGTAGGATTCCAAAGGTCATGGGTAAACCCTAATCCATACACATGGGCTTATGATTCATGGTTCATGTGGGCTAACTCTTTATGAATACTTACATAAACTTAGTCCAACATGGATCAATAGCCCAATCCATATGTTTCACTAATTACCATAATTAGTCTCCATTAATTTAATTAGTCTCTTTTGATCACTAAATTAATTCCAAATTAATTCTTGATCAATACTAATTAAATTATATGATTTCATATTATATATTAGAACTTATAATATATTAATAAATCGTAAATGACCTCTTCTCAAAAGTCCATCATATCAAATTGTCCTGGTGATATGCAACCCGAAATGGACCATGTTACTCTCGGGTCAAGTACACACCAATTATAGTTATGGACTTAGACACCTAATCCAACAGGAATAATCATCCAAAATTGTTAAATTCCACACACATCTATCCATAGGAGATAACAAAACAACTGAATCAAATATGGAGTAAAGAGCATCTCGTTGCTCACTCTCAACACCACCTATATGAAGTCTACGAAAAGAAAAAACAAAGAGTGTCTTAATTTTCCTGTGAATTTAATCTCATAATCCAGCTCAAGCAAATAAAGCCTAGGAAACCTCTTCATTAAGGAAATATCCCCCAACCAAACATACTTCAAGAATAAGGTAAACTCCCCATTGCCAATCAACTTTTTGCAATTAGAAATCAAGTCAACCCCTTTAGATTTAAGATGAAACACAACATAAACAATATCAAAGCCAAATAGACTTCCTTGAACCAAAACCAGGAGCTAACATATCAAGATTACCATGAATAGCTTGAATCCCAGTAGGCCATAAAAAAACCTCTACACCCATTTGAACAAAAGGGCTCTATTAAGAGAAAAAAACCTACCAACTCCAACACCTTCATTTTCCTTTGAATTCAACACCGTATTCCATCTTACCCAAGACATTTTCTTCTCCTCCGTACTCTGCTTCAAGAAAGAAATTCATTCGCAAAAATTCCAACTTAGACAAACCACCGGTTGGAGCCTTAAAGAGAGATCAATAATACGTAGGAACCGAACCCAAAACAAATTTCAACAAAGCTAACCTTCCACCAATAGAAAGGGACTTAACCTTCCATTTTGAGAGCCTAACATAAAATTTATTTACCACTTCACTCCAAGCTTAAATACGACGTGTAGAACCTCCTACCGGTAACTAAACGACATTTTAGCAGCAACACAACCTATACCTAAAGTTGCCAACTCAACATCCTCAAAAGTAACACCAACCCCCATAAGACTACACTTCTGAAGAATAATTTGAATCCAAGAAAAACGGTGCAGGATATTCACAATATGACAATGATTAACGTTACTCCATTCTTCAATAAAAACTGTATCATAAGCATAAAAAAGATGAAAGATACAAACGGTGTTATACAAACCAATTAATAAGTCAGTAAAAAAACCATGATCCTTCACACGCATGAAGGAAATATGGAAAGCTTCCATTACCGGAATGAACAAGAAATGAGAAAGGGGATCCCTTGCCGAAACCCATATAGAATTGAAACTCTTCTAGGGCTACCATTAACCAACACTAACCTTAGAAGACTTGAGATAACACTGAATCCACTTCCTCCATTGGACAGCAAAGCCAAATTTAAGAAGAATATCATCAAGAAAATCTCATCTCAGTGTATCTCACATAGAGGTATTTAGTCCGGACCAATTTGAAATCCTAACTGTGGTCGCCAAAAAGAAGATTACTTAAGGTTTTAACTCTGATTCAATAACAAATTCCAAAAAATGATTTGATATTTTCATCAAACACATTAAACACAAAAATTAAATATATAATATAGACTCCTAACAAACTTTAGGGCATCCACAATACATTGAACTCTATAAAGTTTAATAGATTGTCACATCATCTTTTTGCAATCCATAAAATCTATCATTTTTTTCCTACAATGCATTGAAAAAGTTTAATAAAATGTTACAAAATATAATTTATAGTAAATATTTAAGAATTAAAAACTTTCTTTTTTCCATTAAAGAGTTCAATGGCTATTGAACTCCAAATCCATTGAATGTCAATGTGAGCATCTCACAATGGTAGAGTTTCATCCATTGAATGACATATAGACTTGCCACCTCATTCAACTCTTTCATTAAACTCACCATTGTAGATGATCTTATAAAATTACGTTAGTGTGTATGATGCATATCTAAATATCTTCTAATAGTTCTATCATAATTGATAATTGGACGGTGAAATAAGAAATGCCACAACAAAAAGAAAGAAAAAACACCAAGTAAATAAGGGATTGTTTCTAGAAATATTATAGAATACATTTTCAATTCGTTAGGTTCAGCTCCCAATTAGTCAAAATCGAACAACTTTTCTTATAATAAATTTGTTAAAATATCTTCAATTAAAATAGATACACATGTTTTTGGTAACTTCTATCTTATCCTATGCATAGAAGTTGTATCTTGTGTAGTTAAAGTTGTACATTATTTTATCTTCGGCTTTTCGACACGGAGAATATTACCCGCAAAATCGATCGACCACGAAAAATATACTCACACTCGTACTCATTCTATAAGAATCAAAAGCACCGATGAATTGGATGAGGAGAAGAAGCTGCAATGGCGGATTTAGAGTTGCATCTCTTCAATGAAGCAGCACGCATGAAAGAAAGAACCGAAACCACCATTGTTTTTACCTTAACCATGGCTTTCTTAAGCTTAATTTCCGACCTCAACTTCCCATTAGTTGTATACATTGAAAGCTTGTATCCTTGAAGAAATACATGTCGACTTCTTGCCCTAACACGATCTCGCTTGTCACAAACCGGAGACATGGTTGTATCATTGTTTTGAGACTTTACTCTGCCAAAAGCGGTGGTGATGGTTCTTCGGGTAGAAAAGGCTCGCCATCCACGACTCTGGGTGGAGGTTTGGTTGAGGTGTTCGTAAGCGGGGTAACGGTGGTTTAGACGGCGGAGAGTGGTGGTTCTGGCTATGGTATTCATGATTGTAGGGAGGAAGATTGATGTGGTGGAATAAAGGGAAAGTTGTGGTATAAATATGTGTGTAAAAAAGCAGCCTTGATGCATTGACTGTGTGTGTTTTTTCTTAAGTGGCGGGCGGGGTTGTATGTTTCTTGGAAGGAAGTGTGAGAGATTAACGTCAAGGTCAGATTGATGGCGTGGGGGATCGAGAAGTGTTAACATGTGTCTTCAAGCCACTCTTGACCTACAATGTGGTATTTTTTTTTTAATATGATGAAATTTATATGTTTTGTCTTTTTATTGATATGATGAAACGTTCAATAATTTGATTATTATAATAATTTTTTTATAGCATTGCCATCCGAAAGATCTATAGGTCGACATCTTTTCCTTTTTCCTGTTTAGGTAGAGGAAAACTTCTTTTTTTGTTAAATAATCACATTTTTCTTTACTTTATACCATCAAAATTTATCGTCCACAAAAAATCAAATTATATTATATAATATATTAAATTGTTTCATGACTTATGAACAATATCAAGTTTTGAGATGTGGGCTATTCCGGTTTAGCTATCGGCTATAAACAATAGGCCGAGTTGGCATGGCTTTGGAGCGGGAACTTGTTCTTCGCCGCCATTGTCTTCCAATGAGGATCTCTCTCTGTCTATATATATATA